ACTGTCAACAGTATTTAATATGTATGTCAAGCACCTTAATTCTAATTTTTCGATTTTTTGAAATAATTGAGTAAATGAATTTTTTAGGTGTACAATTTACGATAAAGTTTTCATTGTTGAAATCCATATTCTGGTTTGCTTTCAAATAAACGAATTAGATTTTGAAATGTATCTTCCGTTTCGTTCAAAACTTTATTTTGTACTGAATCACGGGTAATTGTAAATATTTAAATATTTCATCTGTAGTACAAAATTTCGCTAACAACTATAATTCTCAAAATATGTATTTTATTTTGATTTTCTTTTGAACAATCTATCAAGGAGTTTACGTATAGCGGCATCTGCCCGCGAATAGCTCAAGCAATAATTGATAGTTACGTATAGCGCTATTTGCCCGCAAACAGATCAATCTATAATCGATAGTTACGTACAGCGCCATCTGCCCGCGAATAGATCAAGCTATAATGCCGATAATTCTGTCAATACAGATCTCGAGCTTGAGAGTTACAAACAAACATGTATACAAACAAACATACATACAGGTGAAGCTTATATAAAGCGTGTAAAAAGTGACTTATATTATTCAAGTCTTCGGATTAACATTTTTCGATTAGTTTGATAATTATGATTCACGAAATGCATTCATTTCAGGTACTCTACCGAGCGGCCATGGCTATTCTAGTTCTCTTCCACAAGAGTTCGTCGTCGTCGTCGTCGGAATGGTTGGTCGACATTCAGAAAAATGGGGTCGACAGTGCCCTCACGAAGTTCTGCAGGGAAATCCCCGTTTCACCACAAAAAGTATTGAAAGTCGCCTTCGGAATAAGAGGACTGAGTTCTTCTTACATTTCGAGGGTATTTTTAAAGACTGAAATGATTTTGAAAAGTAGGAATGTAGTAAATGGTTCGAAACAGTTAGTGAGATCAAGGTCAAGCGAGAACTTGCCGAATAGTCAGAGTCAAAATAACATTCAGATGGTATCGCACACGCTTACCATAAGAGAGGTGAGTTGTATTTCATTATAATAATTTTCGGTGTGGTGGTTTCTACTGAAAAGTCTCTCTCGATATTTTTGTCAAGCCTACATAACTTGAGCCAAACTTTTGCTACAAATGACCCACAAATTTCTGTTTTGGAATTACCTAAAGAATATGAAGCACTTCCTCGAAAGAAAATAGTTTTTTTCAAGATTTTTACTTTTCAATAGTCAAACGTTCAATTTCAAGAGCTGAGATCAAGTGCTACAATTACCATTTCCATTACTAATATAATTATTTACGTTTATTATGTATTAATTTACAAAAACGTATAGCTACAAAAGAAATAATTGTGACATTCATGATTCAAATTCAAATTTTACTGAGTCTTTTTCCTGTTAACATTAACAGATTAGACGAGTCTTCAAATAAAGAAAAAAATACACATTGCAAAATCACATAAACACAAAAATACATACATAAAAAATAAAAAAAAAAGCAATGAACATGAAAACAAATTAAAATTGGGGTGGATAAGAGATTTAAACAGAAAATATTATTTGTCAAAGTTACAGGAAGGATAATATATGTATACAGTGTGATACACTTAAGATGAAGAAACTCCTATATTTCAGTCATTTTTGAAAGCAGATATTTGATTTTTCGTACAGGCGTAGATCTTTATGGGCCGCACTTTTCGCAATACTCAGCCTTGCTTTCCTGCGAAAAGGTCAAATCATATCCTGATTAATCACCTCAACAATAATGGATTCTGTCTCTGTGACTTTTTAGTAACTGATAATCAAATTTTGAATTTTTTCATAATGAATATTAGGTTTTTCATTCTCATTCCTACATTACAACGAATTTATTGTTTTCGTATCTTGTTATTCAGAACCATTAATTGAAAATCGGTTATTACTCAAATTTTATGTAAGTATATTAATATGATAATGTAAGGAAAGGTTATTTATTAATGGAATCTTTTATTGAGTATTTTGTGTATGTACATATATTATAGCTACCATAAGCCAATTGTTACTATTATAGGATTAAATAATGATACTGATAATGTACATACACAAAATTAGTATTTCATCAGTTCGAACTTCCATTGTCTAATATAATATAAATTGATTTGAAATCCCTGAAAAAATAAATAAATAAAATAAAAAGATTAACCGAAAATAACAATTTTATTAAACAAGAAACTGAAATTACAAAGAAATAACATACAAGCAACAACAAAAAAAATTGAAATATTAATAAAAGCTGAAAATTAAAAAATTAAAAAATATTATTAACAAGAAATGAAAAATAAAAATTAAAAGATTCCAAACCAAATTACGACACGACGTTTCGACTGTTGGTATTCTCAATCGTCTTCGGGTGATAACGGGACTTATTCCTCCAATATCTGACTATTTTATATGTCATTCGAGTGCTTTCACCTATTCCCTCTTCTCTCTCTCCGCTTCATTGGCTTTAGCGGGAGATGACCGTTTGGCGGGAGTTGATCGTTTTTCGCTTGATTGGAGATTTCCATATGTTACGTATCTCTACGTTAGCTTGACTACACCAGTGTTCCTCTTTGTGGATGATTTCAGCTTGAGCCCACTTGATGTTATGTTGATGAGTCCAAACATGCTCTGCTATTCGGGATTTGCTGGTTTCTCCTCCCAGTGTGTGTTTTTTGTGCTCAGCAATGCGAACTTTCAATGGCCTCTTAGTTTCACCGATGTATGATTCTCTGCACTCGCAGGGTATCAAGTAAATGCAATTCTTGGAATCGCAGTCCGCGTTTGGTGGCCTGGTTTACGTGAGGCTGCTACAAATAGTGTTCCCAGATCTGAAGCAGGTCCTGATGTTATACTTGGACTCAATCCTTCTTATCCTTTCCGATAATCCTCTGATGTAGGGAAGTACAAGTACTGGTTGTGGAGGCTTCTCTTCCCTATGGAGCTCTTTCTGTCTTCTAGCTTAAGCCTACCATCACTCTGGAGCAACCATTCCGTTGAAGGTCGTTTTTGATGATGCCTAGTTCCCTTTCGAGACCTTCCTTTGTATTACAGAGCCCAAAAGCACGGTCTAGTAGAGTCTTGATGATTCCTCTCTTAGTCGATTACTGGTGGTTGGATTTCTGGTTCAGATACTGTCCTGTGTGAGTGGGTTTTCGATATGCAGATATTGCCCATTTAGTGTCACCAATACGTGAGTAAAGCTTCAGGAAAGTGTCTAGTTCTGCATTCCCATGGTTCCATATAATAAAGGTGTCTTCTACGTATCTCAACCAAACTCGGGGCTTCTTGTGGGCTTCTTCAATGGCCAGAGTTTCAAACCACTCCATATATATTGGCTATAACCGGTGAAAGTGGCGATCCCATTGGCAGTTCCTCATCTTGCGTAAAGAATTCGTCCTTCAAATGGAAGTAGCAGTTTCGTACACAGCATCCTAGTAATTCCATGATCACACCACGAAACATTGTCAACCACCTTCAAACAAACACAAAATTAGCATCATCATTTTCAAGCCACGTTTCACATGATGAAAGAGTATTATGTGCTTGCTGGTTAGATTTTTATAATACTGTCAACAGTATACGTCTATCGCACACTAAACACTGACCGTCTGCCTGACGAGAGAGGAGAAGTCTGCCTTCCGCTTAGGTAATGCGGCGGTTTACCCTTCTATAAGAAGTTATCACTTCAAAAAATTCGAAATTCGAATTTTGGGTTGAGATTCGGGTTGTTGGGTCAAAATCGATTTCCAAACTACTGTATCAGATAACTTATTTCGGTATCATCAATGCGAAGCAAAATATACACAATTTGCCTCGCAGAAACGCAGTAGACTGAATTTAAGGCTGTCACTCGGGCTTGTGAGTATTGCGAAAAGTGCGGCCCATAAAGGTCCAAACCTGTACCAAAAATCAAATATCTGCCTCCAAAAATGAATAAAATACAGGAGTGTGCATCTGTTCGTCTTTAATACAATCAATATGTTTCAGCAATATCGCATTTGCCATATTCAAATTCTTTTTTTTAAGGACACAACACAAGCACTACAGGAAAAACCTTAAGGCGCTCTTAGAGCGGTGCCTGTGCGTGTGTGAATCCTTTATCCTATTATACAATCGATGGGACGAGTTGTAAAAGTAACATCAAAATACTAGCATTACAAATACTAGTAGCTTGAATGAACAAACAAATGAACAATAAGACACTATAACATCACTGTAAAAACATGGTCACACATAAATTACTCTACTTGGTCGTAAACAAACCTGACGAACTTGTCATGCATTGTTAGGAACCTTTGGTTTAGTGTTGAATATTACTGTAGTTTTATTTTAACACCAAACCGTTGTTTTTAACACTTCGCCACGTGTTTCGATCACCAAGTGATCATCTTCGGGAGGACGATTAATCTGATTTAATATTTCTCTTGAAGAAGATCACTTGGTGATCGAAACAGGTGTCGAGATGTTAAAAATAACAGTTTGGTGTTGGGATGAAACCTGACGAATAAAACAATTTTCCAACCTACCTTTAAAGTTCTCGTATGTCAAACAATTGTTTATACATTCAGGAAGCTTATTGAAATATTGAACACCAGCAATAGGTGGTGATTTTTCACGTATCATAATTCAATTTCCAAACTAATCTCAAGTTTGACGGCTACAAAAGATTGACAGAGACTTTATTTTTTGTTTTTATTTTTCCAAAATGAGAAGTGATGTCAATATAATAGAGAAAAATTACGTTTTTGTCTATATTGACCGGATAAAGCGGAAGTTGAACTATATTGAATTACTTTGAAATCAAAAATCATCGTTAAATCAACTACAGAGTACTGATAAATTTAATGATATGATATTAAATGTCATATAGTGAGTGATACTTGAAAGTTGTATTATTCTTCGAATCACTGCTCATTTAAGAAGAATTTAAAATATATTTTTCAATGAAACAGTCAATATTATTAATTAATTATTTATTATGAACACTTTGTATTTTTGTGTAATTTTTTTGTGCTATTCCTTTTTTAACGAATGTTTTGTGCTTTTCTCTGTCGGGTATGGTTTTATTGTAAATATACATTTTTCATTGTGTAACCTACATTTTAAATTCTACAAAATTTTTAACCCATTAACATTCTACTGATGAAACTATTATTTCACATGAATATGTTTTCATTTCAATTTTTTGTGAGTGTGAGTTTCAACTTTTATGGGACAAATATTTATTATTATTATTTTTGAAAAACAAAAATAACAGTCCATGGAAGTTGAAACTCCAAATTAAGCATTCAAAACAAAATACTGGTAGTAGAAAAATAATTTTATTACCACAATTCCAATTGTGTGTCATTGTCCTCACCTCTGCAGGTATGTGAGAAAATTCAAATTGAACACTGGTTTTGAAATATTTAATCAGTTTTTGAATGCTCCTCGTATATACTCCTGTATATGGAATAAATTTATTTTTTTTTCGAGAATTGGCGACTGTGGAGAGAAATCCTGAAACAGGTCGTATTTTTTTAGTTATGATTTTTTTGGCATATATATCATACTAATGACGTTATCCATATGGGAGTGGTAATGTAATCGATGATTTTTTAAACGAGAATATGAGTTTATATGCGACGATATAAACATTATCCAGGTGGCCAAAAAATTATCAATTTTTGAGTTGAATTAATTTACACAACAAAAAGAATGTATGTATTTATTCGATACAAAATATTTTTCACTACTGTCAGAAAACAAAAAAAGGGTTTATTTGACAAGTCAAAATTGCTTTTCGCTTTAATTGAATGTTCAAATTTTCACTGTCTCTGCTAGGTACCTGCGTCTCAATTGTCTTAAATTAATTTTACAATGTTTTCTTATCTACTAGTTTTAAATTAATTTTAAGATATGGCCTTATCTAATAGTCAAGTAAATATGATAATAAACATATTATTTCAACAAGCTATACAGGGTTTTTCATGATGAGCGTTAATTAGCCGTTTCTGACAAACTATT